CTCTGAATCAACTTCCACCAACATGTGGGCTGTGCAGGCAGAACAGATGGGATCAGTAACTTAATTACATTTTTTTGAAATATCTGCCTTGTTTTTAATTTACTGTGTGCTGTGTCTGTGGCTGGGATTGCAACATGCCTTTTAGGGCATGGGACTCTTTGAGAGCTGCAAAGCTAACTGAACTCCAATCTTGCTCCCAACTTTATTTGAGGAAGGCAATTTTATCCTGGGTGAAGTTTGTTCTCATTTGTATGCTAGCTGCTAGGGAATGCAATTATCTTGGATCTTGACTGCCTGAGGAAATGAGCACTGAAAGACTTGGTGGGAACAAAGTACTTTCTCAAATGGAACTGTTGGCTGACATCCTAAGATTTCCCAGGACAGGGAAACTTGTGTGGGTTTTGCCATTACAGGAGCAGGGCATATCACATAGCATTAATTCTTTTTTTGCAATAAAGAGGGGTTTTTTTGTGGGATGATAATACCCATTTCCATTTGGTTTTTATTTTTTATACTGAAGCCTTGTGCAAGAGTGATATTTTCCTGATTAAGGATTGCCTAAGAGTGATAAAGAGGTGTTGTGAGAAATCTCTGAACTAATTTTTTTTAAAAGTCTGATATATGGATTGTGATTACGGCAGAACAACTACGCCAAACAGGGTTGCTGAAATTTGAGCATGCATTTAGGTAAAGGTAAAGGGACCCCTGAACATTAGGTCAAGTCGTGGCCGACTCTGGGGTTGCGGCGCTCATCTCGCTTTACTGGCCAAGGGAGCCGGCGTACAGCTTCCGGGTCATGTGGCCAGCATGACTAAGCTGCTTTTGGCGAACCAGAGCAGTGCACAGAAATGCCATTTACCTTCCCGCTGGAGCAGTATCTATTTATCTACTTGCACTTTGATGTGCTTTCAAACTGCTAGGTTGGCAGGAGCAGGGACTGAGCAATGGGAGCTCACCCTGTCGTGGGGATTCGAACCGCCGACCTTCTGATCGGCAAGTCCTAGGCTCTGTGGTTTAACTCACAGCACCACACGCATCCCTGAGCATGCCTTTAGCATGCAGCAATTGGTGGAAATAGTCATAGACTTACAATATTGGCTGCTGGAAACAAAATGGTTAGGTTGTGCTCTGGTAAGGAAGAAATGAGAGCGGTGATAATGACCACACATATGACAAATTGCCTATCCCAAATAATGCACTAATCACCTTCCACACTGACTTGAGGTGTAGAACAGGCTATGTTTACTGATCAAATCTCCCATGGTAAGAAAATAATCTGGGTTAAATTTAAACTGAAGTACGGGTTGGCATTTTGATGGCAACAAGGCTGTGTGGAGGCTTTTCTCAATCAGCAGTTCTGATTTCACAATACACTCTCACCAGGAGCTTTCTATGGGAAAATAAAAGACAGATCCCTCAGTTGCTCCTCCTATTTCAGAAAAAGGACTCGCCACTTCCTCCCGGTGCTACTTCACATTATCCCCACTTTTCACCCATCCCTGACCCATAGGCAGTACAGTACCCTCCCCCCCCCCACAATCAATCATTTCCTAGGGCATTATAAGGTTATTGTTGCTGCTGCTTTAAAAGGAGAAAACAGAGCCTCTCCCTCTCTAACCTCTTGGCTTCTCCAGACACCTGTGGTGATAAGATTCAGCCTATGGCACCCAAATCTAAACCACACCTCTCAGTTCTTTGCACTACAGCACAGCTGCTTGTGGAAACTCCATCATGGCTTTTTAGTCGTGTCCGACTGAAGAACTGTAAAGGACAACTTGACCCCAAAGGGAGCAGTGAACCAGAAATATGCTATTCGTTTCAGCTGAACAAACAGGTTCTTTATACACACTCCTTTTCATACACAGGTGGGTAACCTGCAGCCTGAAGGCAGCAGCTTCCAACCTAATTTATGTGACTTCCAGAACCACCTGAAGCTGCTCCACTCTTCCATCCCCTGGAGAGCTCCTTCATTCCTGTTCATTCCTTCTTTATTTACCCTAGCTTTTAAAAGAGCCCCTCACCCCCACTCACCCGTGCTTCCTTTTTGTGCATTTTTCAGAACTGGAAGGGGCAATATTTTATTTTACAAAAAATAAAAATAAAATAAAAATAAAAATAAAAAGATAAGTTTTTCAAAAAACTCATTCCCTTTCCCTTTCCTGGTTGTATGGCCTGGGTAAGAGAAGTTTCCTCCCCTAGCTGCCTAATAACAACTTGAGAGCCAGTGTGGTGTAGTGGTTAAGAGCGGTAGTCTTGTAATCTGGGGAACCGGGTTCGAGTCTCCGCTCCTCCACATGCAGCTGCTGGGTGACCTTGGGCCAGTCACACTTCTTTGAAGTCTCTCAGCTCACAGAGAGTTTGTTGTGGGTGAGGAAGGGAAAGGAGAATGTTAGCCGCTTTGAGACTCCTGAAAGGGAGTGAAAGGCGGGATATCAAATCCAAACTCTTCTTCTTCTTCTTCTTCTTAATGTGAGTGGAGCAGGGCTTTTCTTTCCAGCTGGAACTCACTAGAACTTCCAGCATCTCTCAGGTGGGCACCATTGCCATTCTAAGAGAACAAGGGAGGCATTCATGGTACCTCCTTTTCTGGAAAAATAGCACTGGTGTGTAGCATGCATTAGTACACAGCATTCCTCTTTTAACTGGGTGTGATATGATGTGTTTATATGTTATTGCAAGCTGGATACTTTTAGTTAAGAATATTGTAAATCTTTTGATGTATTGCAATTTAGTATTCTTTTTTTAAAAAATTGTAAATTGCTTTGAGATGTTTTTGTAGGGACAACTATCTCATAGTAACAATAGTAACTACTGTTATAGTAAAGTCAGAAAGTAGTTACAGTAGCTATATTGGTCTGTTGTACTAAAAATAAAATAAATCCTCTGTCTACACATTTGAGAGTAATCCCATCAGTGGGGCTTACTTCTGATAGAATTCCTAGTCCTATTCAGGTCTGTCTGAGAATTGAAGCAGGGTTGTTTTCAATTAATTGATATAGACCATCATTTGATCTTCCTCTACCCACCATTGGTATACACCCCTTCCTTGATAGAGTATCCCCAAATGAATGTGGCTCTCAGCAGGAAAAAGTGGCCCATCACTGTTTAAATACTATAGTAGCATCATGACCTGTGACTTGATTAATTCTATAAAATCTGTTCATTGACAAAGTGGGCTCTTAACTATCCTCTGAGAGCACCAGCTATTACATTTCACTGGGCACAGAGAGGCTATAGAAATCCCAAAACTTGTTTGTGTATGTGACAGTATTCACTGGTAGAGAATACCAGCACCGCTTTTTTGCTGCCCATGGCAGCCATTTTTTACTGGCACAGATGGCACTTTTATCAGTGTATGAGTACTGACACCTCATTTATAATAATAAATTATTATTATCATCAAATTATTATTATTATTATTTCTACCCCGCCCATCTGCCTGGGTTTCCCAAGCCACTCTGGGCAGCTTTCAATGGAACATTAAAAACAGAATAAAACCTCAAGCATTAAAAACTTCTCTAAACAGGGCTGCCTTCAGGTATCTTCTAAAAGTCAGATAGTTATTTCCTTGACATCTGATGGGAGGGCATTCCACAGTGTGGGCACCACTACCAAGAAGGCCCTCTGCCTGGTTCCCTGTAACCTCACTTCTCACAGTGAGGGAACTGCCAGAAGGCCCTCGGAGCTGGACCTCAGTATTCTTTTTTTGGTGGAGGGGAAGACAAACTTTATTGGAAGGAGGGTGGATTGCCTCTCTCTGACCAAGCTGTACAAACATGTCACACAGGGGAGTTTTGACCCCATTGGGCTAAAATCAGCAGCGGGCCTCAGAACAACCAGTGGGCCTCACGTTCAGACTCCAGAAGTGTGAGCACATCCCCTTCTCAGACTGGAATATGGAATATGGATGATCAAAAGGCTGATGTCATCCTTGAATTCCACACAGACCTGGGTGGACTGTGCCTGCGAGTTAGTCCGGTCCAGCACTTTGGTGACTCAGGCCAACTTGATGGGTCCATGGCAGAAGTGACACCTCATTTCTTACAAACAACCAACCCACCCCAAAAACCAACCCATTGGAAATTCCTAAACCTGGCTGAATCTAATTATTAAATTATACTTGACCTAATTATCTATTATGTTTCCTCTATTTTCTGATGGAGTGTAGTCAAATTAGTAAGTTAACTATAATGTAACCATGTAAAGAGTATTATCAATATAAGGCAGCACCGTGACTGCGGAAGTATACTCCAGAAGATCCCTTTGTAGCAAGCTACGTGCTAAAGCCAAAAGATGACAAAGCACAGAGCAAAGAGGAACTGCCTAATGAAGTTTCCAGGCTGGGGAAGGCACAGATGATCTAGTGAATTTGAAACACCAAATCAACTGACAAATATTTCATTTTTAAACATTGTATTAATTGTTTCAATTTTTAAAAATTGGCAAAATGTGTGGGTTTTTGGAAACAGAACCAGGAAGTGTTCTTTTTTGGGTGATTTCCCCCAAAATGCTCAACAACTTTCCCAAGAAAAGCTCAACTTTTTGCATCTGGATTTCTACTTTTTGAAATATGGCAACCCTAGGCTATAGGGACATCTCCCTTTTCCCCTCCTGATATATTCAGGTTCCCTAGTTTAGGGATGGAAAACATGTGCTTCCCCCCCACCATATATTGCTAGGCCAGCTGGGCTTATGAGAGTTTGATGCCCTATGGAAGGCCCCAAATTCCCCATTTTTGTTGTAGTATTCAGTTCCTAAATTACCAGCCAAATATTCCTGTCTTCTGATGAAAGGTTTCAGAATTCAGACACTTACCCAAACATATTTCTCATTGCTTCAGTAGCAGTGGACACCATTTTCCCCCTCAGTAAAGAGTGCTCAAGAACACAGACCAATTGCCCCAACCCTAAGTGTACTTTCATAAAACTAAGTTCTACAAAAACCAGAAAATGATGATGAAAGATCCCCCACCAATGCAAGATGACCAAAGCCAATAGTGTCAGGTATAAAATAGTTTATTTAAAATGAAAATGTATGTAAATTGTATGCATAGTTATCATAATAACAATAATATAAAAACAACCACCCCACACAAAGGTGGGTACAAGATGCTACAAGCTTCACATATCCATACCTAAAGAACAGGTACGTAGATTGAAATGGCTGTGTAGTTAAAACTGCTGCATGGCAGCAAAATAAAACTGTCTTGGTTTTAGGTATAGAGTCCATTTGCATCTCGCATACAAGTCACAGTTCTCTTGCGTTCTGGAAACTACACTGTCAAGAAGGAATGGGGCAAGGAATGTCCTGTGCATTTCACGTCACGATGTTCTTGCAGGCGCCGGACGTGCTCTTATGATGCATGCTGCCGGTTCACCAAATTTCTCACTGCTAGCACCTGCTTGCTTTTTTCCATTGTTACACCCTCCTGTTTCTGAGGCACAACCTCCTCTTTCGTCAGGGGGGTGGCAGGTCTCTCCTCTTCCTTCTCCCTCTCCTCCTCCTCCTGCCTCTCCTCGGAGGCGAAAGGGCTGCAGACAGTCTCCACCAGGCCAATGACCACACCAAAGAACGTCAGCACGCTGCCCAGCATGTACAGCTTGACCATCTTCCCGTTGGGTTTCTGGCTGAGCATCTCTTTGGCAAAGGGAATCAGCTCCTGCATCGTCTCCATCGTTAGCTAAGGGAGTAGACACAGCGAGTCACAGAGACCTGCAGAGCAAAATGGAAAAGAGAAAGGACATCAGTTGCCGTTCAAAGGGTGTCTCCCCCTCGCCAAAAAAATCCCACAAGCTGATCTTTGAAGAAACCGACAGCACTTACAGAAGTGCAACTTACAATGGCCACGTTATCTCTGCAATTACAATGCAGTTCAGATTATCTACCTGTCTCACTGCAGGACGCATGCATAAGGCTTACCAATGCAAAAAGCATGGGAGCTCGGAGAACCCCCCCCCCCATGCAGCCCCACGCTTTAATTCAAGGAATTCGAATCGCGCTCTGCACAACCTCATCCCAAACTGGATCTAGGTGAACTGAGCCGCCAGCTATCGACCTATCTCAGCGCCTGTCGTTTAACATCCTGGTTTTGCTTTCAGAAAACAGAAACCCGCCGTACTCACCAGAACCACAGAGCTGTCAATCTTTGCCTCGAGAGATCTCTTGTTTAAGCAACAGCGGTGCTTTTTCTGTCTGCTCTTTAGATCCGACCAGGCACTCGGCGCTGCTCAGCTGTTGCCTTTGCAAGCGCGCAGCCCGGGCCTTTATATTCCCCACACTGGGCGAAGCCCCGCCCCTGGCCCCAGTCAGCTTGCAAGAGGTCGTCCAGGCAGGCGGAGGGCCAAGGGGGCTGTCCATGCGCCGAGCACGCCGCGAACACACGGAGGGCTTAGGGGGCCGGACCCTCCCGGGACGGCTATCTGGCAGGGCGCAGGGCCGGGGTGGGGTGGGCGCCAGCTGCCAGTGACCCGGGCAAGGAGACGGGAAGGGGGAGGCCCGTCTCCTGCGCCAGGAGAGAGGGGTGTAGTTGTGTGTCACGTAGCAAGCGGCGGGCCTTCAGACAGGATCTTTACTTTTCTTTTTGCAAAGGTGGGGGGGGGGTAAGCCCATTTTGCGCAGCCAGGGAATAAGCAGGCGGAGACGTGCGCGGGTGCCAGTGTTAGGATGACCTTCACTCCCCCCACTCTAATAAAACAGCCTTGCGCTAAAGGGCATGAAAGCTTTGCAAGGAGGCTTAACCGGTGACTTGGCTTATATGCCTCTTCGTTTGCTTTGTTTCGCTCAGTTGAGTGATTGGGGTTATTAACCGGCCCCCAAGCGCAATGGTTTAAGAGCAGGGAACACACGCTGCATCCAACAGCAACCAAGTGCCCCCCAGTTGTTGCTGGGCTGCACCTCCCATCAGTCCCAGTCAATGCACTGGGATAGTGGCTCCTCTAATGACCCTGGGGTAGCTTTGTGGATAGGCAAAGCTTTAAAACCTGGTTTTCCTGCGCCAAACTGAGTCTGTAGACTCTGCCATACTTTAGATACCCAGTTTCCATATACCATAGAATTGTAGAGTTTTAAGGGACCTATATATGGGTGGGTGTGTTTCTCTTGTACCCCACCTTTCACTCAAGGAGTTCCACTGCCCCCACTTTTTATCTTCACGGCAACCCTGTGAGGTATGTCAGGCTGAGAGAGAGTAACTGGCCCAAGTTCACCCAGTGAGCTTCATGGCTGAGCGGGGATTTGAACCTGCGCCTTTGTGCATGCGCAGAAGTGCCGAATCGCAACCCATGCATGCGCAGACGCGGGTTGCAAACGCTGCAGGTTGCGAACGTGCATCCCGCACGGATCACGTTCACAACCCGAGCTTCCACTGTACATTTAAAGCAGTATTATACCACTTTAAACAGTCATGGCTCCCATCCCGCAAGAATCTTGGGAACTGGAGTTCGTTAAGGATGCTGAGAGTGGTTAGGAGACCTCTATTTTCCTCACAGAGCTACAACTCTTGAGTCGTTTCACAACCAGTCCCTGTATTCTGGAAGCTGTAGGTCTCTGTGGGGAATAGGGGTCTCTTAACAACTCTCAGCACCCTTAATAAGCTACAGTTCCCAGGATTCTTTGGGAGAGTGGTATAACATTGTCTTCTTTGTGTGGTGCAGATGGGACCAAAGCTTGTCACACTAACCACTACACCACACTGGCTGTATGTAGGTTCTGTTTGTTAAGGCCCAACAACTACCTTCAGAATCCAGCAGTGGGGACCAGCCACCTCTGAGCAGATCCTTCCAGCCCCTTCCTCCAGTGCTTGACTAATGTTTTTTTTTAAGGGGAAAGGCAAGCAACCCATGTTAGCATCGTTTCTGTTCTTGCCAGCTTTGAGAATGGTTTGGAGAAATTGCTCTTCTGGTACACAGGGCATGGTTTTCGGCCTTTTGGGATCTGTGTTCTATTTCTGTCCCTAAAGCCGCTGGGCACTCTTGCGTAAGCCTTTATGCCTCCCTCTCACCTCTCACCCACTAGCTGTGTCGTCTATTTGGATAATAAGGGGTTGCGAATGCATGCAGTCTGTTGCAAAAGTGTCTCTCATTGCAGCAGAGACCTTGTTGCTTTATCCAGATAAGGAAGGGTTGAAAAAAGTGAATCAGGGAAGGGTAGAGCTTGGTTTAGGCTTTCCAAATGAAAGTGTAGAGGACGGACGATATCATGGTTGTGCCCACAGCCCCCAACTTCCATGCAATGTATGCCTGGAAGGGTCGTCACATCAGCTGGCGTGACCAGATTTCATGTTTTTAGAAATATGCTGAGGTCTACCAACTGGTGCCAGGTGCAACACAATATCTCTTTTTTGGTGTGTGGAGTTGTGGAATCAGGTGCAAAATAGTGTTTAGGTGATAAACCCATTTATTTATTGTACCCCATGAGCTATACACCGGTATTTTCTGTATTTACAGGTACAAATCTATATCTGAGCTAATACAAATCAAGGTTTGAGCAGCAAAACATCACCAACCTTTTGCATTTGTTAAACTGTTGGGAGTTAAAAACCCTTGCCAATCCACTGCAAGTCATCCAGCAATGTACCTGCAGATCCCAATTTACCTTCTGCCCATTGTGGATGGCCGGTGTTCTCAAATAATTTAGACAGAATAGTGATTCACAAATGATTCCGGAAGTTGTTAACAGTTTGCAGGCAAAGATTCACTTCTAAAATGAGATTAGGGGAATCAGGCTACAGTTTATGATCTGAGAATCCTACTTCTTCACCCCACATGTGTGGCAGCAGTTGGCTGGGCTTCCTCAGTGGTGGAAGTAAAATCGCTATTCTGATGTCCAGAAGCCATGTTTTATTATTCCACATATTCTAGGGATGAGCTCTGGCACTGAAAGCAAATTTTCAAGTGACAAGCCATGGTGAGTTCTAATTCTGGTTCAAGCTAAACCTTGGGTGTTGCAGGAGTGGTGGTTATGGTCTTTCCATACAGGAAAGTGATTAAAGGAAGGATCACTTCCATGTCAAGCAATTAAACCCATTTCCCCCCTGGGAATTGTAGCTATGTGAGGGAGTTAACTGCAGTTCTCATAATTCTTTGGGTGCTCCACATGCTTCAAATATACTTTAAATGTAGTGTGGATGTGCCCCATGATCCTATTGTACCCCTTCCTGTTCCATCATTTTGTGTGGCCATAAGACCCACTGAGGAGCAAGTGTGAACACTCAATGTATAAGAGGGAAAGATTTTGTATAGTGGCTGAAACACAATAAGAAATCCAACATATTATTACAAGCCCAGACACCTTTTTTAGCCAATCCATAGAATTGGGTTGCCTAACCATATTTCCATTTTATTGGTTTTTGCCAATATATATAATTGTAGAGTTGGAAGGGACCACAAGGCTCATCTAGTGCAACCCCTGGCAATGCAGAAATCTTTTGCTCAATGTGAGGCTCAGACCCACAACCCTGAGATTAAGAGACTCATGCTGCTGTGAAGTTTCAAACAATATTACTCTGTCTGATGTCCTCTCTTTCTTGCATCTCCTTTTCTTCATGTTTTGGAGAGATCTGACTGAAGTGTTTAGTTATTCCTTTTCTCCAGAAGCATTCTAAAAATTCTTGTTCCCAAGCAGATTGAGTTTGATCAGTTGGAGATGTAGAGGGAGATGTGTTTTAAATCTGAATACAGACATAGGTACAGACCCACATTTATAAAATATCCCCTCCCGGCAAAACTACTATATCTGAAAAAGAACACAGCAGTGAAACTATTAACAGGGATTTAAACTAAAATAATGCTGCATGCGACTATTTCCTTTCCCCTTTCTACAAAACTTTCCTTATGCAATGGGCTTCCCTTCTCTAATAAGGAAACCAAGCAGAAACCAAATGTCCCCCAGCAGCGAGTCAGAATGACCGCTCCCCACATTAAATGGGGGGCGCCCTTTGCGTGGTCGCGCACAGCCCCGGGGACTCTGTGGCACCATTAGCACAGGCTTGGCTTTGCCTTCCCCAGGTGGGATATCTGGAGGTCTCCGCCTACCTCAGCCAGTTGCCCAATCCCGCCTGGGGAGGCGTTGCCAAGGTGATCAGGCCAGGTAGGGGGAGGGACCACCCTGCCCACACAATAGGGGGAGGATCTTACCTGGGAATCCTCAGTTGGCTCCAGAGCTTCTCCCGCCCTACCCACCCTCAGTTAAGACTTCTTTTGCAGGTTAACCTTTTATCCACAGGTACGCAGGTGCTGCTATGTCAGGGTCGCTGTTGAAGGGCCGAAAAGGAATTCTCCTGAATTGGCAGGTTTGCCTTTCCCATAGCAAAACATCACAACTTTGGCGGTATCAGGCCTTGGGCGGAATTCTTTAGTCTATCTTCCCTAAATGGGGGAGGGCATGTAGCGGTGACCCATGCCCCCCTTCTCTTTGTGGCAGCGATTCCAGGGTTCCCCGTTAAAGGGGTTGTTTTGAGGGGAGGCTTTGGCCGTATGCCTAGAGGTTGTCATTGCTCTCCCTTGCGATGGCAACGTAATGGGGGCGGGCTCTCTCTGCTTAAACATATGTTCTCCAGAGCCACCCCATCCCCCCCCACACTCTGGATAATCCTGATGTTCCCCAGATCCCCGGCAGGATAAACCTGGGAAGGATAAACGCCCAATGCCTGAGCCCAGGTCTACCCACACCTGAAACATAATAAAGTTGTGGCCACTTTTAATCCCATAGCACATTGTCTGTAGTTGTTATTCCACATGGGGCCGTCCAGGGTTTGGGGGACTCTGCCTGTCCACGCAAATGGAAGGGATGCACATTCTGTGAAGGTGATAGTGAATCTCTTCCTACCACTTTCACACTTCTTCACCTCCATCTCCAAATGAGCATTGCATCAGCAGCATAAAGCAGGTTACATAAACTTTGGTAATACATTCTCTAACCTCAAGCTGCTATTAACCCATTTTACATAAATAGTAAATACATTCTATATTTTGAAAGACTGTGTCTCTGGAGGATGGGTGCCGACACAAGGCATTTTCTCACATCCCCCCCCCCCCCATGTGACTGTCAGCATTTTAAGGGCCAAACTGGGCAAGATGCAGTTAGCATTAATAGCAACTGTAGGAGGAAGCACTGAATCCCTTTGATCACTGTTTCAGATAGCCAATCCACTTCTAACCCAAATGCAGCGGCTAGGTAAAAAGTTAGCACACTTCCCAGCATTCAGTGTGCCCTGGTCTTGTGCTTGCCCTTTTGCCTTC